GAACACAGCACGTCTCCCATTCACTTAGACTGTCTTTAGTTTCTTTCATCTGATTTCTTTTCAGTTTTTAGCATACAGATTCTGAACATGTTTTATTGGATTTGCAACTAAGGTTTTTTGTTGTTTTTTTTTTTTTTGAGCAATTGTAGGTGGTATTGTATTTTAAATTTGAGTTTCTGTACATATAGTGCTAAGTCATAGAAATACAATCAACTTTTGCGTTTTGCTCTTGTGTTCTGCGATCTTGCTGGATTCATGAGTTCTTGGAGGTATTTTGTAGGTTCCTTGGGATTTTGTGTACCGACTGCCACACCATCTATAAATACAGACAGTTGTATTTCTTTTTTTCCAGTCTGAACGCCTTTGATTCCCGTTTACTGCCTTGTCATGCTGGCCAGGGCTCCCAGTGTTAATGTGTAAGAGGACCTTTGTGCCTTGCCCCTGGACTTGCGGGGCAGGTGGGGGTATAGATGTTATTTATCAAGTTAAGGAAGCTTCCCGCAGTCAGCAGTTTTCTGAGGATGTGTATCGTGAATGGGATTTGAATTTTGTGGCCTGCTTTTCCTGCCTCTGTCGATGTGATGGTGTGCTTTTTCTTCTTTAGCCGGTTGATAGGGTGGATTGTACAGATTGATCTTGAATACCGAATCGGCCTTGCATCCCTGGAATAAACTCCACGCAGTTGCGGTCTACAATTCTTTTTATGTGCTGCTGATTAGGATCTTTGCACTTATATTTGTGAGGGTTCTGGCCTGTGGTTTTCTCTGTTTTGTGCTGTTTCGTGTGGTTTTGCTGCCAGGCTAGTAGTGCCTTCATGGACGCGCTGGGAAGTAGCCCCTCCCCGCCTGTGTTCTGCCAGAGCTTGCTGCGCGTTCTTCCGTCAGTGGTTAATAGGATCCCAGTGAGACACCACTTGGCCTGGATGTGAGGCTCTGCAGGAGACCTCGGGGGGCCTCCACGACCCAAGGTTGCAGTGACGGAGGCCCTGCCCTGCCAGGGAGGGGAGGGGCCGACCTGGCCCAGAGACCAGAGCCCGGAAGGCCTTGAGCTGTACTTGGCTTTGCTTCCCCTTCCTTGTGGCTGACAGCAGACCCTGCTCACCCGGGGCTTTACCCCCTCGGCCCCCCTCTGCCACACACGGTTTCTGTCCACCAGATACCACGTCCAGGCAGGGCCTGTGCCTGGAGCCTCAGCAGGAGGGAAGTGCTGTGTGCAGGAGCTTTGTAGGCTGTGTCTGTCTGTATCCAGGTGGGGGTTCCGATGCCCCTGCGGCATTTTCTTTGGATTTCACCAGTGATTGGTCCTCTGGGAGGCGGCATGCCCGGAAATTGGGCATGCGATCGACCAAACATTCAAGTTCGTAATGTTTATGTCAAACATATTGATTCTTTGTTTTGTGACTCAATGATCAACATGATCTTGGGGGGCCTGGCACCCTGGTTTTGAAGGCTAGGTCGTATTGCCTCTGGGGGAAGGTCTGGTGAGAAACTCATGGTTCTAGAACCCCAGGCACCTAGCTTCTCCTCTGCCTCATGTGGGCCTCCATGCCCCCTCCCCAGGACTTGTGTGCTCACTGTACCCCCTTTCTCCCACATACCAAAGGCTATGTGCCCTCACCTTGGGTCTCAGGTGCTGCGTACCCACCACTGTTTTTCTCGACCTTCATCCTACCCCAGACATTTAAATCACAAAACATAAAATCAACTTACTCTCCAACTAGCCTACCTAATTTTCCCCTCAGTATTTTAGTCTTCTCACGTAATCTCGCTATGGGCAGGTATCTTGGTCACTTCAGGCTGCTGTAGTGGAATACCACAGCCGGCATGGTTTATAAACAGACACTGATGTCCCTCCGTTCTGGAGGCTGGACGCCCAAGACCAAGGTGCCGGCATGGTCGGGTTCTGGGGAAGGCCTCCTCCTGGTTCACGGCGGGCCACCTTCTGGCTGTGTCCTCGTGTGGTGGAAGGGGCCAGGGAGCTCTCTGGGTCTCTGCCTTCATGACCCATGCATGTCCCGAAGGCCCCACCTCCGGATACCATCACACCAGGGATTAGGTTCGGCATATGAATTTGGGGGAAACAAGCATTCGGACTGTGGCTGCAGGCATTTTTGTCTGTTCTGTACCCCCAGCATAGTTAGCACTCAGAGGAGTATTTCTTGTGAAAACATTGCTTAACAAATATTTGTGAAATGAGTCCTGGTCCTTGGCGATGCCGGCTCTTCCTAACCAGGAGCTGCTGAGCTAAGTTGCCAGGAGAGGGTGGGGCTGTAGGGTCCCTTGGGGTGGGTCAGCTGCCGCCGCAGGCTCACACCACAAGGGCTCTTGGGCTGTACTAGTACCGTTTCTCTCGGGGCCCCCACACTGAAGCCCATGGGCACAGTGAGTGGCCCTGTGCTTGCTGCTCTCTGGTGAGGCCCAGGGTCAGACAGCTGGTGGGAAGCATGGCCTGGCAGCACCTGCTGTGGCAGAGAGCCCCACCTGCCCAGGGCCCAGGCCTCTGTGTGTGCCCTAGGCGTGCTGGAACGCAACCTGCAGGGCCCGGAAGGGACAGTGGGTTGGGAGTAGGCAGGCCTGGCACATGTGGGGCCCTCACTGAGCCCCAGGCCCAGGTGTGAAGGGTGGAGGGTGTGAGAGCGCACTGGGAGCCGTGTATCCCGTCCCTGCGTGTGGTGTGCCAAGCCAGCTCCCTCCCCTTCCCGCTCCCATCTCCCAGGGCTGCTGCTGAGTCACGGGAGCCAGATGGGGTGTGAAGAAAGCAATCAATCCAAGGGCTCTTAAGGCTGAGCAGTGACACTGGAATGCATTAGAAAGTCAGCACGTAGATCTTCTAGGACTCAGAAGTCCCAGAATGGAGCCCTTTCCAGGAAACTGGCAATCGTGGAAACTTTTTAAAAAACAGTTCCGAGTCTCAGTTTACTTATCTGTAAAGTGTGGGTGCCAATGCCTGCGTCCCAGAGATTAAGCAGGACAGCACAGATGAGACCACCAGGCACAGAGGCCGTCCCCACCCTGCCCTCTGCCTTCCCCTGCATCCATCCGACTCTGGCACAGGCCTCTGCAGTCCCTGTGTGCCTGCCCCCATCGTCACTGTTGAGCAAGCTTCTGTGTGGATTAGCCCATGGGTAAGGGTGAAATGACCGAGAGGAAAAGCACAGGAAGAGTCTGTCTTGGCTCCAGGACCTTGGAGATCCTTATCGGGCTGGGAAGCTGGGGCATCCACACCCAGAGCGGGAAGCCCACACCCGCCAGCCGGCACACAGTGGGTGAATGAAGAAACGGCTTCTAGAGCTGCCTAAGCAGCCAGAGGACAGAGCGTCCTGGGATGCCTAGCTTCTGACCTTTGCCAGAGAGGTGGTTGGACGTGTCCGCTCCTGTCCCCAACCAGCCCTGCCACCAGAGCCTCCAGCAGGCCCCTGGGTGGATTCAGAAGGCTCCTGGCTGCCCGCGTGTGGTTTTTTCTTGCATCCTAAGATTCATCTGCAGTCTTGGGGAGGGAACACATGCTCGAGAGAGATTCGGGCGTTCACATGGTGAAGGAAAAGCTTTGTGATTCATTTATTCAGTGGGTCTCTGTTAACACTTGGCCTTGCCTGGGCAATGTCTTAGAGTCCCACGCTTGTGGAGCTCCCAGTTTGAGGGGACTAGATGTTAATCAGAGGACTCCAGTGGGTGTTCTGTCACCACTCTGAGAAGGGCTGCAGGGCCGTGGTATGGGGAGGGGGGGTGCTCAGGAGGTGAAGCACAGGTTTCTCCGAAACTGGGGAGGACTAGTCATGAAGCTCCAGGCAAAGGGACGAGCTTGTGCAAAGGCCCTGGGGAGGAGACAGTAGGCCAGATTCAAGGAACCCAAGGGTGCTGCGAGTGGTGGAGGTGTGGGAATGGGGCCAGCACGCGGGACCAAAGCCTGCCAGTCAGATGGGGCTCCATGTTGTGGGCAGACAAATGGGGAGCGACTGGGGGCGCTGCAGCAGTGGTTTTCCTGCCTCCTGTCGGAGCAGCCCGGGAGCGGGGCGTGGAAATGGGCAGACCTCTGAGCGTGGGCTCTGTCTGTGCCACTGGGTGGCCCAGCTGTGGACCGAGAAGCTGCCCTGAGTCGCCATTCTCTTCTGAACAACCTCCTTAAAGAAGAAGCCTGGCGCCGCACATCTCCTGTCTCCTATGCAGAGCCGGACGGGGCTGGGGTTGGGGGTCCACGCCCACCTGCGGCCACAGGCCCCGCCTACCGCCTGGAGCCACGCCCACGCGCGGGGGCCTCGCCCACCGTCCGGAGACACGCCCACACGCTGGGCCCTCACACGCCGAGCGCCCGCGCGCTTGCGTCACCGCCCGGCCGGCTGGATCCGGTTCCAGCCGAGTCGGGCCGGCCTGACATGCGCAGTGCGTGGGCGCTGCGGCCGGGCGGCTCCCGGGCACGCTGACGGCCCGGGACGCGGAGGTCAGTGCGCGGAGCCCGGGAGCGGGGCCCAGTGGGTGTGGGGGCAGCCGCCCTGCCCGAGGGCGCGGAGGGCGGGGCGTGTCCGGCTCGGGGCGGAGGGGCGGAGGGGCGGTTCCTGCGGGGGGGCCCCGGCCCGGGTAGACCCCGGGCCCGGGTAAGACATCTCACGGCTAGGGCGGGGTGCCCTTCCCCCATGGGGTCGGGCGCGGGTGGGCCCACGCCGCTGCCGGGGTTACATCGCCCTGGGAGCCCCGCCTGGCGACCCGGGTCCACCTTCCCCACTTCCTGGGGTCACGGAGCGCCCTGCTCCCCAGCCTCGGCGTTCTGCACGGTGAGGATGGGGCCCCCAACCTGTGTCCTGCAGCGGTGGGTTGGGGGGGTAGTCGTGGGGGGTCCGAGCTGTGTCCAGCGCCAGAGGGGACGGCTCGAGCTGTGTCCTGCACCGGGGGGAGGTCGGGGGCTCTGAACTGTGTCCTGTACCGGGGGGAGGCCAGGGGGGTTGGGGGCTTCGAGCAGTGTCCTGCGGCCAGAGGAGAGGGGCTCCGAGCTGTGTCCTGCTCGGGGGGGGGGGGGGGATGGGGGACGTCAGGGTGGCTCCGAGCTGTGCTCTTAGCAGCTCCTACCTGGGGAAGGCCTCTGAGGCCCGTTGACCCTCTGGGTGCTGCTTCAGAGAGCTCAGCCCCAGGCCATGTGACCCCACGCGAGTCCCCTGGCTCTCCAGCCCGTCTTCTCTGTAAAGCTGGGCAGTAGTCTACACCCTGTCCCTGCTCTGCGCTCTGGGACTCACCTATCCTTTCTCTCCTCTCCTGGGATGGGTGTTGCTCTCTGCTGGGGAAGTCTTCAGGGCTATGTAGCCCAAGGCGGCCTTACCTTTGCAAGGCCCACCCACGCACAGCACATCATTGTTTGGGGGAGGGAAACTTACAAGGGTATTACTGTTTTGCTTGTGAAATGATTTGGCTGTAACTCTTTGGGCACGTGATTTTTCACTGTACATTCAGGAATTCTTGCAAAGTGAGAAAAACCTAACCCATGGTTTCCAAATGTGATGGAATTATTTTGAAAATTATGTTTATAACAGTTGATGGAGTTGACTTAATGATACACTGTATACATTCAGTGAAGCATTTGTTTTGATTTTGCTGTTTCATCTTGGAGCCAACACATGTTTTGGTTTTTTCCCCATAGCTCAGACCCTTTGCAGGTCCTGAAAGGCCCACAGGGCCCAGAAGGCAGCGGGGCCCCTGACATGAGGATTTAGATCGAGTTGCCCTGTTCACTTTGTACCCAAAGGCTCAGCCGAGACGCTGCGGAGGGAGAATGCAGTCCAAAGACTGTTCGGTTGGAACAGCATGAAAACACATTGGGAAGTCTTGTGCAGAACTGTTGGTTTTTTCCTTGAGAGAAGCAGTGTCAGCGCTTCTTCCCACAGTCGTCCTAGGAGAGCTTGCGCCCTGTGCCTGCTCCCTGAGCCTTGGGCCTGCCCCAACTGAGGTGGGAGGTAGATGTTTTTGCACTTGTGTAGTGTGTGTTCACACATTAAGAATCTGATCTTTGTTAACGTGTGGCAAGGTCAGCGCTGCCAGATCAGGAACGAGTCTCTGCTGATTTTTCGGAAGTTGTTGAGAAGTATATTTTTGGTCTAGTAAATGTTATTTCTAGACTCATTTACAATTCCTATACTTAATATTCTGCCTGGCTCTGCCCGTTCTGGCCATCAGCCTGCCAGAATGGCGTTTCCAGATTAAACACAACGTGCAGCCTTCAATTCCTGGCCAGTCCCACGTTTCCGGAAATGAAAGGAAGGCAGATGCAGAGTTTACTAGGAAGGCCGTGGGCGTGGCTGGGGGCCTGCTGTGAACACAGGGCAGGGCTGCACATGTGACCTTTGCCTTACAGTCTAGCACTCATGCCTAGAAAGCCACAGCGGTGACATTCCACACGAGGCTGTTGACCATTCCCAGTGCCCCTGGGCTCCACGCCTGCGCTGGCCCACTGGTAACGAGAGAAACATTACTGAGTCCAGATCATGAGTTCCCTAAAACCAAATGAGGGCCCAGTCGGGCAGTCCTACTCGGGATGACGAAGCTCACACCGGGGGGGAGTCAACCCAAGGCAGTGAGGGCTGGCAGCAGGAGGGGCCCTTGGGCCCCGGAGGTCCAGGAAGACCCAGTGGGGTTCCTGCCTCAGCCAAGCGGTTAGCCTTTCCCTGCAGGGGGGCGGTGTCCACACCTTCTCTGTCTGGCTGTGAAGTGCTGGGGCTCCGCCGGCCTGGTGCTGGGGCCTGTGCCTACCTGGTGGGAGGCTTGGCAAGGAGGGCCCCTTGCAGCCTCTTTGGGGACTCAGCCTGCTCTCAGAAGGCCCTAAGACTGTGCTGGTGCGGGCAAACCCCTCTGCCGTAAATGCTCAGTATGAAACGCTGACCCCTCCGCTCGGCAGGGAGGCAGGGGAGGGCCCGCTTACCAGCTTCCTTCTCTGTGGAGTCGACTTCCTTCTGATGAAGAGCGTGGAGTCCTCCCCATCGTGCTCCTCCTCCCCTGACCTCCCACCCCTGCTGCCGGAGTTGGCCTCCTGGTCACCGTCAGCATTCCCTCCCCCCGTGGCCTTTCCTGTCCCTGCTGCCAGTGTCCACGGGCTCAGGCAGAGCCGTAGCTCAGCCGGTTAACACGTCCCTCTGTCCCCACCTAAGGCTCCTGGGGAACAGGGTTGCTCTTCACATCTGTCCCGAGGCGCCTGGCTTGCGCTTTGCCCTGGACGGCTGCCCCGGATGGTGCTCTGGGAGAGGTGGTGCCGAGACTGACCACATTCCACACTGAACCAAAACGGGTAGCAGGCCCTGCACCCTCCGTTGACGGTGCTGACGTACCCGTGCCTGGCCAGGGCCGTCCACCACACTTGCTGGGAGGGGCGGCTTGCTGGAGTCTCCCAGTCAGGACTGGCTGATAAGGTAAAAGGAGGAAGGTGTCACCGATGTCTGCCAGGTGGCTCTCCCCATCGGTCACCAGTCCCTGTGGGCACCACATGCACACCTCCTTCACACCTCCTTCCCTCTCTCACAGGAACGTGGAGATTTGTCCACCGCCATCCCCCCAAATCCTAGCCTTTCTGCTCCTCCTGTTCATCCATGTGTCTGCCTCCACTAGAGAGTGGGCCCTCCAAGGACAGGGCTGGACATGCTGACTGTGGATGGATGGACAGACCAGCTGTGAAATGGTAAAAGTGTTCTAAATAAAAGGATTGGCTTATAGTATCAGAGGACTTTGTTTCCAGAAACCTAATCTGACCTTTGTAAAGATCCCACCTCAGGGTTCTCCGTGTGTGCAGACACCCAGGGCGTCAAACTGCGGGTGTGGGGCTGGGCAGAGGAGCTCTCCTCGCTGGCTCGGGACCACCTTGTCTCCCAAGGACCCGATAAGCTGGTCCCAGGACAGCGTGGGAGAGTTGGGGCATCCTGACAGCCATCTCCGGCTGAAGCTCTGTGGGACCATTAAAAAGGTTTTGTGGGGCTGGTCATCTCGGCTGCCTCCTGTACCCACATCTGTATACCTGCGTGTCTTCAGGCTTTGCAGTGCATATTGGTCTCTAACAAAACACCCATTTCTATCCTGGGGTTAAGAGAAGCGGTAGGAAAAGCTGAGCCACCCAGCGCTCATGACCTGCCCTGGTCTCCCGGCTCTGGGCTGTCTGGTGCCCACGGCCTGCCCAGGATGAAGGTGCACTGTGCGGCAGTGGAGGTGGCCCCATAGCCCTACGCCCAGAAGCTGAGACGGAGTCAGGTCCCACCAACAGCCCAGGCCCTGGGGTTTGAAGAATGTCAGTGTGGAAGAAGACCCTCCCCAGAGCAGTGGACAAGACTTCACCCCTCCAATTCCTCATCTCCTCTGAAAACTGAGGAGGTGAGCTCCTTTGCGATCCTGAAGTCTGTTCTTTGACGTGTGTGCCTGCGTGTGTGTTTCTGGGAAGAGGGTCCAGCGGCTTCCATCCTGTTCTCCGAGGCCAGGTGGATTTAGATGGGGAGAAGCGGGTGGGGAAAGAGCCTGGCTGTTCCAGGGCTCCAAGGTGTGTGGTGGCAGACCTACAGGCTTGGGGAGCCAGGCTCGAGTTGGGGTTACATTCTTAATCCCGGCTCTCAAATTCAGAGAGTTCGAACCTGGAATTTAAAGAAATAACTGTTTTCACTGTCTCTGCTAACATTTAGCATTTCCTTCCACTATGAATGTCGGCGGCAGGCCACGGTGGCATTGGCAGGACCCGTGGAGAGCACAGGTGCGTCCTGGCACGTGGCGGGTGGAGACCTCACCTGTGCTCGGCTGCACGCCGGTCACGGTCTGTCAGACCTGTGCAGACGGTGCCTGTTCTGGTAATGGTCTCTGTGTCCCTGCGTGTCCTGTGTATCGCGTCTTGCGTTTGCAAGCCGCCTCAGAGGGGTCCCCAGGCCCCACCGCTTGCACAGGCGTCCGGATCCAGGAGCTGTGCTCTGTGAGGAGCCTCCGCTGCCTGGAACAGCCGCTCTGGCCGCCGCTCTCCCTGTCCTCCAGGAGCTCACTTACATCCGGCCGTGAGCTCCTCGAGGCCAGAGCCCGCGTCTGCCTCCACTCAGCGCCGCCCGAGACCCCCGCTGAGCGCAGGGCCCCGCGGCCCCTGTCTCCTGGCTGCTTCTGTGGTGCCTCAAAGCAGCAGCTTCGCCAGTGTCCGCGTGCATGTTTTCTGAAGTTGCCGTTTCAGCCTGGATGCTGCAGACAGATGAAACGGGGAAACTGTCCCATTTGTGCGGTAGCGGAGGACTCACTGTACTCTGCATGTCAGCTTGGGCAGGTATCTTAGGGTGGTAAGGGGGACTTTGGGGAAATCAGCCTGAGAAGGATGTGACAGGTTCGTCCCCGCGCATTTTATCTCATCGGCTCTAGCGAGTCGCCTGGGTGTTGCTGTGAGTGTCTGGTGGCTGAAAAGGCCTGTTGGTCCTGGTTCTGCAAGCATGTCACTGAGGCTCCCGGGAAGGGGGCACGCGAGGGGTCCGTATTGCCTCTCACAGCTGCATGCGCGTTTGCTTATTTCAAAATAAAACACTGTATTGAAAAATTACAGGAGATACTCCCTTTTATTGTTGTTCATTGTTTCTAGAAAAGGAAAGGGTAGTTTGTTACCGTAAGTTACCCTTCTGAATTTTCATAACTGAGCTAATGAGTCTGATTGAGTTTGAGTCTTTGAACTGGAACAAAATTTCCAGCGGTGCCACAGAAGGAGGCGTGGGCTTCCTGCCTGCCCACTGAACTCCTAGGTTCAGAACCAGAAGGAAGAGGGGCTCTGTCATGGGGAGTCCTGCAAGCCGGAGCTAGCTTCCTTTTTTCTGCTGATCCCCAGACCCCTGTCTCCAGAGCCCCTTCTGTCCCCCAAACTCTGGACTCTGGGACAGTTGGCTTCACGGTGCCAAGGCTCGAAGAGTCAGCAGACCCCACTGAATGTTGGCACAGCAGGGACTCTGTGGGCTCTGGTGGGCCTCCTGTGTGGAAGGCGCTGCTTGGAGCATTCTGGGCAGTTCATGGACAGGCGACTGTGGTTACGGGTCCTCTGCATGGGGGCCGCACGGATGCGGCACGGGCAGGGCTCTGTCCACATCCGTAAACGGAGGACTCCGTAGAGACTGCCTCCCTTGCCGCCCAGGCCTTCAGGGGCAGAGGAGGAAGGGGAGGAGGCTCCCCGGCTCATGCCCCCTGCCCCCCACGGTCACGGTCACGGTCACTTTCACCCCAAACCCCAGCCCCCGTGTGAGGGCGTCCCTGACAGCAGACCCCTGCTTCGGGCTCGCCCTTGACCGTTGTTTCTGCTGCGCAGTGTTCTAATGTGCCCGCTCTGTCGGGTGGTCAGTTGATGGGTTTTACCAGGTGACAGGTGGTTGAGGACGCAAGTATGGAATTGAGCAGGCAGCAAGTAACAGCGCTGTTGGATGGCCCAGAGTACATCGGTGAACTCCCCGGCACAAGTCCCGCTCTCGGGGAGCCCTTGTCTGGTGGCCTGACCCCACTCCCTGTGCTCCTGGCTCCAGCCTCAGGCCCCGTGCCAAAGCAGCCCCTCCAGCCACGGATTGCACTTTTCAGGTGAGGAAAGGATACCTGGACCCCAGACTGTCTTCTGACACTTCGTAGAACTATTTCCAGTAGTTTGGTTCTGCCGCCACAATGGGGAGAGTCCCTGCCTGTCAGTCCCTGCTCAGGTGCTGCCCCTCCCAACCCTGGTCCCTGCTGTGCCAACATCGAGACCGTGCACGTGGCTTGCCCTCCCTTGAGAGCTCTCCCTGCTGCTCCCTGGCTGAGCAGGGCCCACGTGTGCTGGTCTGCACCACCCCTCTTTTCAGAGGCCCACTGGGACCTGGGTGAGCCTGGGCAGGAGGGGGGCGTCTTGCTCTCACACATCCTGCCTGGGGCACAGGCTGCACCGAAGTAGTCTCGGGAACCACTCAGGGTTTATTGCAATTCTGGGCTCTCTCCTAAGCCAACCCAGCAGCTGCGTCTTCAGTTGAGGTCGGGGAGGAGCAGATCCCACAGCAGCACTGCGCCTGCCCGCTTGCCTCTCCTCTCTCTTTTGTTTTAGTAATCTCTACACCCAGTGTGGGGTTTGAACTCATGACCCCGAGATCAAGAGTCACCTGCTTTTCCGACTAAGCCAGAGAGCCAGCTGCACATGAGGTGGGGTGGCCGGGCGGGACATTCTTACCCGGGACTGCCCCCCCTTCCCTTCCATGTGGGGGCTGGGGCCTCAGCAGGCGACCCCACAGGACCATGATGGGAATGATGAGAGTGCCCTTCTGGATCGTGATCTGTGCCCGCTCCTGAAGCAGGAGCAGGTCTGGGGAAGGCAGGACGCTGTGCAGAGGACGGTACAGACGTGACTGGGGCCGAGGAACGTGCCCGGGAAGGGAAGGTGGCTGTGGGCCGGCCATCCCCCGGAAGGTGGATGGAGGGTTGGAGCAGGAGACATGACCCCTGGGCCCAGGCAGTTCTGATGTCTCCTCAGTGGGAAGAAACCAAGGCTGGGGGGTGGACACTCCTGAGCTCCCGGAGGCGAGAACCAGCACCCTGCAAGCCGCTTTGACGGAGCCACTGGGTGCTCCCCTCTTGGGAGCGGTGGCCTGGTGGTGAGGAAGGTGAGTGGGTGGGACTCAGGCTGTGTCCCGTCACTGGCCTGCTGGGTGAGCTCAGGTACGTCCTGCCCCATCCCCAGGCCTTGCCTGCACACCTGGCGCTGGGGAGATGGGTTAGTGTCCGTCACGGACACCATCCGGGGAATCTCTTTCCTCCCGGGGAGGCAGACCCTCCAGATTCAGGCAGCACCTACCTCCCCTGCTGCGTGCCATGTTGGCTCACGTGTCCTGGGAGAGGCAGAGGGTCCCTGGCCCACAGGTGAGGCCACTCTGCCTGAGGTGATGGAGCCAGTAGGGAGAGCCCAGGCCCCAACGCAGGCCCTGCCCCCAGCTTCCCCCAGCCTCCCAGTTCCTCCAGCCAGGCTGCAGACCCCATGGTGGGAGTGGGGGCTGTCCTGGAGGTTGAGCGTGCCCCTCGTTCACGGGCCCAGGGCACAGGTGCCAGCAGCCCCCTGTCCCTGATGCCACACTGAGGCCCAGCTGGAGGGGTGTCTTCACTCTCAGCCTGCGTCCTGATCTCTGGAGCTTTAGTTGTGCAGTGAGCACTGTGCTTCTGTCTGTCCGGAGCCAGTGTGGCCTCTGCTATGGCCCGGGTTAGCCTTGCCCTTCCTGCCACCAGCTGTGGTGAGAGGTGTGTGCATGTGGGCTGGCTTTTTCCCACAAAGCCACGGTAAGATGTCAGCCTGTCGGCACAGGGCACGTTTCCTGTTTCATAGGGAGCAGGGGCTCACGTGCACAGTTGGCACAGTTGGACCCCAGTTGGGCAGCCTCTGAGCCTCAGACTCTTCCTTCCTTGCCCCCGATCCCTCCCCAGCTCCTGATGAGCAACCGGTCCTGGGAACCGCTGCCCAGAGCCTGTCTGGAGCTTGCGGAGGGAGCTCGTCCTGAGCCAGGACATGGCTCCAGGCTCAACTCCTCTGCCGAAGGGCCAGGTGGAGGCTTGTGTGTGTGTCTGGAGCTAGTCCTGTGGTTTTAGATGCCCGTACCAAGTCGACAGCTCATAAAAGTTGAACCTAAGAGGAACTGGAGCAGAGTCCAAGCCCGGCCTTCTGGTGGAAGGCCCAGCCCTTCTCAGCTCTTGGCACAACCCCTGCCCCCTTCTGAGAACTGGCCCTGGTGGGTCAGGAGCCAGAACCCAGGCTGCTGGGTGGACATCTCTGCCCTTCACCACCCTCCTCCAGATCTGCCACAGGCTGGCCTCTGGGTGGCAGGGCACCTTCTGAGCGCTGTGTGCTGTTCCCCATCTGTAAAGACCTCTGTGAGCGGGCTCACGGAGATGAGCTCTGTCAAACCCCAGAGTTCTCTGCAAATGTCAGCGCGGGCAGCGGCCGGGTATGTGCGGTGCCTTTGGGGAGGGAACCTTCAGGCTGGCCCGCAGGTGAGGGCGCTGGGCCCAGCCGCACTGGGAGCCCGGGGAGACCCGTCCTGTCACGTGTCACTGCCGGCTGCCCTGGGCCAGACCTGGGGGTGGCCATGTGGGAGCCCTGGAGATGTGGCCCCGTCCAGACAGAGATGTGCTCTGAGCGTACAGCCCACAGCGAACGCAGAGACTTAGCATGGAAAACAAGGTCGCAGAATTCCATTACCACTTTCGTATTGCTTCTGCGCTCTAGGGAGGACGTCTCTGTCTCTGTGGCGCTGGACCCCTGCAGGCCTGAGCTCCCACTTTCTGCCTTGGATGGCACCTGCCCAGGCCCGGCCTGTGAGTCCCAGGGGCCCGAGCCCCCTGCCTGGTGGAGTTGTGGGGAGAGCAAAGGGGTGTGCGCACGTTTCAGTGTCTGGCCTGGGGGACCGTCGAGAACGGCCCGTAGCGAAGAGTTGGGGGGGGTTTAAATTTGGCTACGTTCTAGGTTCTTTTTCTCCTGCTGGAGTTATTTTTCCTTTTACCACATTTTGAAAAATAAAATGTGGCCACCAAATGTCAGAAGGCATTATTCCACCATGTAGACAAGCAGAGAGAAGGTTCCAGAGCCTAGGGAGAAGCCCTCACCCCCTCCCCCAAAGCTGCTCCAATGCTGATCGAATTTTGGATTTCCACACACGATCTCAGGGAGGAAAATCAATTTCCCTTGCTTTACAAAACCTCGTAAGCATTGAGACTAGTGTCTCCTGCTTTCCAAGTGGGGAATTCCGGAGGATGGCTGGTTTGTCCCGACTCTCCTCTGCAGCTGGTGGCAGGACCACAGCGACCTGTGGGGAGTGGACTTGAGCAGCTCCTGGCCCATCCTAGGCTCTGGCCGCCTCTGTGCCCCAGCCTGGGCCAGCCGCTCCTCCTCCCACGCGACGGGGCCCCCTTCCCTCCCAGCTCCCTGTGTAAAGAGGAGCACTTGATCGTTGCTCCTGGGTCTGGGAAAGACAAGGGGCCTTTCTCTGGGACACAGAGGGCTGCTGTCGACCCTCGTGGAGCCCGAACGAGGGCTGGAGACCATGGCTGCATGCCTAGGGCTGGGGCTGGGGCGAGCTGTCACCCCAGGAGCCTCTCCTCGGGCCCTGAGGCTCAGAGCAATCCACGTTTTAACCAGGGCAGCTGCCGTGCTCGGGAGCAGGTGCAGACTAGTGACGAGGCACCCAGCGAGCAGGGCATGGCCAGCGTCCATGTCACAGCCCACGTCACCCTGGGCTGCACTGCCTGTGTATATGTCAGACCCCTCCCCCTGAGTCTCTCGTTTGGCAGAAAGCCCACACTGGACAGTCCGTCCCAAACCGGACACTGGTGCGAGGTCCGCGGGAGGGGGCACATCAGCTGACCCCACAGACGCTGCCCCTGGACGACCCAGTTTCCAGAGGAAGGGGTGGGGGACGATGCCAGGGGTCCGCTGCACTGTGGCATGTGATGCCCCTCACACAGTCTGCTGCTCTGGGGGTGGCTGCAGGTGCGAGTGCGGGTCTGTGTGGGCCGGTTTCTGTGGTCAGCTCGGTCTGGAATGGGTAGTCTTCATTCACA